TAAATGACAGCAGTGCATTAAAAATGGAGATAAAATCCTTCAGTTGTATGCACAGGCAAACAGAACAGTCTTTAACCTGGATTTGAACATTGACAGAGTAGACGCCTCCCTCACATTTTCAGGGAGATTGTTCCAGATCTTAGCTGCATGGATCTGAAACGCAGCCTCCCCATGTTTGGTTCTCACTCTGGGCACCAGCAGGAGGCCAGTCCCTGTGCTCCTCAGAGTCCGGGCTGGTTCATATGACACCAACATGTCACTAATGTATTCTGGTGCAAGGCCATGGAGAGACTTGTACACAAGCAGAGCCGTTTTAAAATCTATTCTTTGAGCCACAGGAAGCCAGTGCAGAGACCTGAGGACCGGACTAATATGGTCATACTTCCTGGTTCCTGTCAGGACTCTAGCTGCTGCATTTTGGATGTACTGCAGCTGCTTACAGGTCTGTTTGGACAGACCTGTAAGCAGGCCATTGCAGTAGTTTAGCCTGCTGGAGACAAATGCATGGACAAGAATCTCCAAGTCTGCCCTGGACACTATATTTCTAACTTTGGCAATGTTCTTCAGATGGTAAAAAGCTGTTGATGTTATTGATTTTATGTGGCTATTGAAATTTAGGTCTGAGTCCAGTATTACCCCCAAATTTCTGACCTTGTCTGAAGGAAGTAGGGAGAGAGACTGAAGTTGACAAATGACGCCCTCTCTTTGTTTCTGGGGACCAAAGACAATGATTTCGGTTTTGTCTGTATTTAGCTGGAGGAAATTATTTTGCATCCAGTCACTGATCTGTTGGATACAGTGAAGGAGCAAATCCAGTGGTCCATGTTCTCCTGCAGTCAGTGAGACATAGATCTGAGTGTCGTCAGCGTAATTGTGGTAGGACACTTTGTTTCTTTGTATTAACTGACCTAACGGCAGCATGTAGAGATTAAATAGGAGAGGTCCCAGGATCGACCCCTGTGGTACACCACAGGTCAGGGCCACATCATCTGAGACGCAGTCTCCAATCTCCACAGAGTACTTCCTATCCTCCAGGTAAGACCTAAACCAGTCTAGGGCTGTGCCAGTGACACCAGCCCAGTCCTCCAGTCTCTGCATGAGGATCTCATGGTCGACAGTGTCGAACGCGGCACTAAGATCTAACATGACCAAAACTGTGACTTTACCTGCATCAGTGTGAAGTCGAATGTCGTTTGTTACCTTCACTAGAGCGGTCTCAGTGCTGTGGTGGGGTCTAAACCCAGACTGGAACATATCAAAAGAATTATTCATTGTTAAAAATTCAGTAAGTTGTTGGGAGGCCACTTTTTCAAGAATTTTTCCAATAAACGGCAGATTCGATATGGGGCGATAATTTTGAAGTCCCGCAGGATCCAGACTGCTCTTTTTTAGGAGAGGTCTTATGACTGCTGTTTTTAGGGCCATAGGAAATGTTCCTGACGACAGAGACATGTTTACTATTTGTGTCAGTGAAGGTAACAAACTGCTCAGGACGGACTTCAGAAATTTAGAGGGCAATATATCCAGGCTACATGTGGAGGAGCTCAGACTCATGATTATCTTTTTTGATAGTTTCAGTATCCACAGGTGCAAAGTGAGTTAGCTCAGAAAGCTTCTCTGGCTGTTGCATTGTTATACGTGCTGTGGAGGTGATAGTGTTTTTGATTCCTTGTACTTTGTCATCGAAAAACTGTGCGAAC